AATTATACTAATATCATTTTTTTAACTGTATATATTGTTAGTTCATTTTATCCTCAACAAGTGCATAACAAACATAACCTTAAATTAGGGTTTAGGGTTTAGGGTTTAGGGTTTGGGGGTTTAGGGTTTAGGGGTTTAGGGGTTAGGGTTGAGGGTTTAGTGGTTAGGGTTTAGGGTTTAGGGTTTAGGGGTTTAGGGTTTAGGGTTGACGGTTTAGTGGTTAGGATTTAGGGTTTAGGGTATATTATGTTTGTGATTGTCATTACTAGTACGAATCCCGTGCGATGCACGGGTAAGAGATATTCATTAATATTTATAATTGAAATTTCTCAATAAATAATATTTATTTATAAATTAAAAGCATGTAGTCATATTTAATACAATGTACCTATATTAATTTATTAAAAATATTATGTAAAATATAAATTGTGTAAAATTATATAAAAATGTTTATTTAAAGTTAGTTCATAACCCGCGCGTTACACATAACTTATAATAAATTACGTTATATTCGTTTCAGAATATGTGTCATCTCAAAATTTTTATTCAAAACTTCAATTTTACTATAACGCGATACACAAATTTTACTTGTGGTGTGCCCAAAAAATTTCCTTAATATATTATTTATTTAATATAATATATAATATTTACTGTATTTAACATATAAAATTATGAACTATAATTAAATAAATAAATATATAATTTATTTACTTAATAATATTTAATATTTAAGATAAATTTATTTATTTAATAAAATTTCATTTATTTAATATAATATATAATATTTAATAAATAAATTAGTATATATTTAATAAATAATATATTTTTAAGTATTATAATTAAAAGTTGTATGAATTTTATATAATATAGCTAAAATGATGTTTGTATATATACATGAAGTCAAGTATTTACTATAAGTTGTGTTGAGTCAAGTGGTTTATAATCACACTATATATGTTAGAGGTACCATGTTCGAATCCCCTTCTTGCATTATTTTTGAAATTTTTCCACGTGTCGCTGACTCGGATTCACTTGTGGTGTGCGCGTAACTTTTTTGTCACGTCAGAATTCTGTTAATGGCCCATTAAAAACGTGTATCGGGTGGCCAAGAATGTAAAGGTCATGTATTTATTTGCCAAGGTCTGAAGGTCATGATTAAATGGTCAAACACGAAAAGGTCGTATTATTTCCCGCCATTATGCCTATTATTTATAAAGTATTTTAAGTTAAATAATTGGGCTGAATAAACCCAGTTGAAAAGGGGACTTCTTTCTAGTTGCAAATCCGGGCCCGTTTAAAATGGAGTAGGCCAATTTATAGTTTTTTAGCCCTACATAAAAAGAGTCAGCCTAACCTATAAGAAATAATACATATAACTCACCTTAAAAACTGTTCTAATAATATTATTTAGAGTCCAACAAAATACAATCCACTTACATACCTTTTAATCGGACGGTTTAAAAAAGTCAAACAACAAATGGACGGATAGGATTGATCGGTGCAGTGATATATAAACATTACTCGAGTCATTTGGAACTTCCAGCCTTTCCATTTATTCGATTCATCTCATCCAAGCCCGAACATTTCGTTCAAATGTCCAAATCCGTCTATTGAAAATTTCCAAAAAAAAAATTGCGTTTGCTTTCTAAAAAACGATATAATCGTCTGTTTATTCGTGATGTTTTTTTTTTTTTATCGGTCGCTTTTGATTTCATTCATGGTAGTTTACAAAAACTATTTTTGTAAAACTACGATTTACGTAACCGACCTATGATGTACACATCCATATTTGTATCGACAAAGATCTAGCCAGCTAGTTTACGCGAGGGTATTGTGATAAGAAAGGTGATATCATATTTTTAGCTTTCGCGATAAGATTTGTCGATTTGAATTTAATGTCGAGTCATTTAGCTTACTGTGTTTTTAGAATAGTTCGATTATATGTTACAAAATCGAGTTTTTTTTTTTGTACTAATCATTTTTTATGCATTTTCATATTATATTATTGAGACGACAACCGATTCCGAGGACCGAAGAACATTCGAAGAATCTAGATGGAGTTCGAAGAGAAGATTTGACACCATCGCAACACAATCCCGAGTGTCCGTTACCAGGTCAAGTAAGGTAAAAACCCGTAAAGTTTTTTGTTTATTTTATTGCTTAGTTTTTCTGAATTTGTAGATTTTATTATTTGGTTGTATGTTAAGTTTTCAATTATTCTTTCTACAGAGTAATACGAATTTGGTAGCTTAAAGAATATAAATCGAAGTTTTAATTTGTTTGAAGCATTAAAGAGTAATGTTTGCGAACTGATCTCGCAAAGAGAAGGTTAAGTAAAATTGGTAGCTTCTGGCAACTGTTAAAAATAAACGTTTGTAATTTAATATGCTTGCATGAGTCAAGAGTGTAATCAAATAGCCTTTAGTTCATAAGACATACATATAGTTTTTTCTATATAGATATAGATTTCCGATAGTGAAGCACACATTAATAATAAGCACAATTGTTTTGGTTTTGAAACTTAGTTAATCTTCAAAATTTAAGGGTTGAACAATATTTTGATTAGTCTACCAATTACATTTACTTGATTCTTTAACCGTGAGATAGACATTTATTAAAAAATCTTAGTAAGTAAATATAATAATAAAATGAAAACTACATGCGTTCGTTTTATTTATATTATAGTCAATTACGAAGAACCAACGAAGCTGTAGAAAGCATATATAAAATTTTCTAGGAATATGAATTACCCAACCCAAAATAAATATGCTTTTGAGAAACCAAAACATTAAAAAATAGTCTATTAATAAATAGACTTATACTTTTTAT